ACCCGTTAATTCGGTTGTAATCAGCTATTCCGCGGAAGAGCGCGAGTCCTGATCAAGTCACGCCGTCGGCGTGCCGATTGTCCCAATCGGGATACTGAACACGTTTCGTTCGGGTTTTAGAGAGCGCGAAAAGTCGTTCTTCCCGCGGACGCAGTCGTGGTACTGTCGGCGCGCTCCGTTCTCGTGGAGTGCCGGCTTGCCCATGAGAGCAGAGCCCTTCGTCGCGTGGATGCAGCATGTGTGCGTCAGAGATCATGTATCTGCCCCCTCCGGACCCCTCGGTACCCCTCCTCGTTGTCGCACATTTGCCACTATTTCAGCTTCTCTGTTCACGCGTTCCCCGTTCTGTTGCCCCCTTTCACCGAACTCCCGGGTACGCGGTCGCCCCTTCTCCTCCTCAGCGTCTTTGCCGATGTACCTTTGCACAGAACTCGGAGCACCCACGACGTATGGGAAAATTTTTCAGCGGAGATAGCTGAAATACCGTATAGGATATTAGATGTTGTATACTTCAAATGGAATGGCGTTAGAAACGAGAAACGACATTATAATAGAAATACTTGCGAATGTGATTGAAACGATATTCAATCATTTTCAGATGGAATACTATGTTGCATGGATGAAATGTTTGATTCTCCGAGCTACAGGTGTTATCTAAGATAAAAGAGACTATTATTTATCACGCGATACGGTGGGTTGTCTGGTACCGGTTAACACTTATTTGCTACTATACCTGAAGAACCAGCGACGAATCCACATGCCTCCTGTGCATACGCGGATTTCGTGAACCACGCGTACGAAACTTGAATGAATGGTTACGCCATATACGGCAGTGACTTCAGCAATCGACGTGTAGATTTTAAATCACCGGTTGCAAAACAGTGGCCGATTCCTTGAGAAATTCTCAATAAGATAACGCACGCTGACGTACGCAACAGTTTAGAGAGGATTTATTGGGTGTAACTTTTTCTTTTTTAATAAATTTAAGGTGGATGTTTATGCCTAGAATCAAGCCGAGTTGGGTAGATTCGTAGGGGTTGAATTGATTCTGAGAGAATGAAGTTCTTACGTTCGCACGCTCCTGTGATATATCCTTGGTGTTCTTGATATGGAAATGAACGCTTTTTTTCAGTTTTGAAAGAATTCCGCTAATTACTTATTTCCTTGTTAAAAGACACTGTTAACGAAATTATGTAATATAAGTGAAACGGACTGTGTACGCAATACATGTCAGTCCATAAACGAGGATTTAATTAATGTACAGTTTACAAAAATTAGTGTGAGAATTACTTGACCGCTAGGGACAATGTTTGTATAATTGGATTGAGGTCAGTCACGTGGTTGTCTTAATTATTCTGTCCCCTCCTCCATTCGCATATTTGGCTAAATTTGTTTCACTCTTTTTATCGTGCGAGAGTAGGTTGTAGGAACCCACGAATGCCGTTACGTTTGTATTCCACATAATTTCCAGTATGAATGTAAGTCAAAAACTCGTATGATTTCGCTATAAGAAACTAAAACCAACAATTATTCGTTACAAATATTTATTGAAACATTGACAATACTTGTTTTTTCTTATAAAAATAAACTGAAGTCAACTAATACTAAAACATAGCAATTGAAAAAAATATATACGTAGAGAGCAGAATCTGAATGAAATTGCGCATATAGTAAGTGTAATGCATAGTGTTATCTTAATTGAAGTCAAGTATTTCATGGCAAGGCATACAAAAAATGCAAAATTTCATTCTTAACTAATAGTAATGGAATCTCTAATTCAATATCCACATTGTTCATGAATGTAAAACTTAAAGACTTACAAATTTTCCGTACATTATTCTTGTTAAATATAAAAAATGATTACCTTATATGTAGTATTACAGTAGAACTTAATAGTAATTAAAGATTAACATATACGTGTAAGGCACTGCAATCACAAGATTATCAGGATATTCCTGATTCCATAAATTCTGAACAGAACTGTCGGTTCTCAGAGAAGGAATGAACTAGAATGTTTCAATATTTCCACTTCAGTTACATTCAATGAAATACCAAGTTGTCATGGTAATTCCGAAATTAAGAACTATTTAAACTGCAATTAAGAACTAAGACACTTTATAGACATATATACAGAATACTTTGTTTCTTTTTTGTGAATGACTTATTGATAATGAAAACGGAAGGCTGTGTTGACGTCGTAATGGAAAATTTAGAATCATCATACTTGTTACTGTATCTTCTAAATTTTACAAATCTTCAAATGTGAGTGAACATGGCAATTGTTTCAACAGCATACTATCATTTGAATTTTTGAAATGAACAGGATGGTTTGCCATAGTAGTTGAGCCTTTTTATGAATATTAACAATGATCTGAAGCATTATTTACAGGTTGGTACAAGTATGGCCAAGAAGTTAATTATCCGGTGGTGATGACGTAATTTTCCTCTTAAAAAGCAAGATGTGTGGTTCTGAAACAAACAAATAATTAAATGAAATTTTCTTCAAGTCAAAGAAGAATTTAAAACGACCAAATTTAGATAATGTTCATATAATATCAATAACAAAGATACCTGGTTTATGAACCATATAATGTACCCATCCTTGACTTTGTTGGACACCAATGGCTCTCCACTCTTGTTCTGATAGTAGATGAGTACTAGGTACAAATTTCACCATCTCTTTTGGCAAAACCACATGCCTAATAAAACATTTCTTCATTAACAAATGGACATATTTTTAAATTCCCTATCCCTTACCCAAAACATAATTTTTTATGTAAATATTGAACATATGTATATATATATATATATATATACTTATTATTAATATTAAATTAGAAACATAACTAACATGTAAGTATAATAATATGGGAAAGATTAATTTAAGATTGTTACAATTACATGACCGACTTATGCTGACCGAGAGACTAAAGAAAATTTGTATTTCATTCCAGTAAGTATCTTATATGAATTATATTGTAAAAAACATTTATCAAAAGTAACAAGAATTACAAATATTTAAGATTATCCCTTCCCCCTGTGTCAATTCTTTGTTGCGTGGATATCATCAAGATGCTGGACATACGTCACGTATCATCGACTTATTCCCAGAAAACGTACCCGAAAAATGAACAAAGAGATTATTGTCAAACCCAAAGAAATAATATCATGATAAAATTCCTGTTGAACAAACGTTCTATGCTGATGAAATGAACATAATATTAAAAGGAATATATGTTCAACGAATTATGTCTATATGTCTGTAGGAACCATAGAAAATGGCACAATTGCCCAAAAATCGAAATCACACTACTACCGATGATTCAACCAACCTGTACTCGTATTTATCGTCGTAATATTTATCCGAATAGTAGATCTTATGGGACATTGTTATCCACTGAATTATGATCTCACAGACTTTAAAAACCAACTGTGTATTCACTAAATGCAACAAAAAGTCACTCGAAAATTTTCGAAAACCTTCTCTCGCCTTCGTATGCTACGCAATTTGAAAGTTTAACGGATGTAGTGTAAAAGAGAAGTGGAGGGAGTGTACTCCGTGTTCGTTGACGGTCTATATGAAATAATACGTGCGAAATGAGAGGGAAACATCGAAATATACAAAAAATATAGAATAAAATAATAAAAAAATTCGCATGTATTTAGTATTCTCTTATTAAAATATTTAAGTATTGTGAATGTATTTTATTATATTACTTTATTATACATAAACGGAAGTGCATACATAATAAACCGGAATCAGTTGAAATCCTGAAATTCAGTAATGGCGGACGTTACTGATTTCAAGCGTTGTTTTTTGTGAGGTTAAGTGTTAGAATAATGGAAAGAGTGTAAAATACTTTGCATGAAAGGACACGTTAAGCGCTTCTCTAATAAAAATGGAGAAATACTCTCGCAGGACAGATTACGAGAGATCCAGAAAAGAAGACAAAGATCGTTATAGACGTAAAGATAGAATTTCACGTAGGAACAATGACAGCGATTATGAAAGTCGATCAAGAAGTTCGAAATCAAAACACAAACATTCGAAAAATTCGAGTGAAAAATATAAAAAGTCTAAGCATAGGGAATCTTCTGAATCACGAGAGTCTCGTAAAAAATTATCGAAACGTAAAAGCAGGAAAAGGTAAGGTAAATTTAAATATTTTCGTAAGTATGATTCTTTGGTCTGTTATTTATAACTTGTGTACTTTACATTAGATCAACATCGTCGTCATCTTCATCCTCTTCAAATTCAAGTGAATCCAATAGCTCATCCTTTTCTGATTCTTCATCTGATTCTACCAAGCTCTTAGAAAAGCTTCAAAAACAACGTCAAAAACAACTCGAAGAAAGGAAACGTCAGAAGGAACTAATGAAAGCTACTGAAACACCAGAAGAAAAGAGATTAAGGCGTTTAAAAAAGAAAGAAGCTAAAGAACGTAAACGTAAAGAGAGAATGGGATGGGATAATGATTACTTGCATTACACAAATACAGATAATCCTTTTGGTGATGGAAATTTACTTTCCACATTTGTGTGGTCTAAAAAACTTGAGAAAGAGGGTCTCCTAGGTGTCAGTAGAGAGGAATTAGAAATTAGGAATAGGCATAAACAAGAAGAGAATAAAAGAGAGTTAGAGAAAGTTAAAAAAAGAAGACAGGAAAGAGAATTAGAAAGACAACAAAGGGAAGAAGAAATGACCATGCTGCAAAGAGGAAAAGAGGCTGCCCAGTTAGAACAATGGGCAAGGCAGGAGGATCAATTTCACTTAGAGCAAGCTAGATTGAGATCTCGTATTAGAATACAAGATGGTCGTGCTAAGCCAATCGATCTTCTTGCAAAATATATTAGCGCAGAAGAGGAAGTAGATGCTGTTGAAATGCACGAACCTTATACATACCTACGTGGTCTACATGTAAAAGACTTAGAAGATTTAATTGAGGATATTAAAGTGTATAAAGAATTGGAGCGTGGTAAAAATTTGGATTACTGGAATGACATTACAGTAATTGTAGAAGATGAGCTACACAAATTGAGGAAGCTAGAAAGATCAGAGTACGAAGTTGGTAAGTATCTATGTTATACCTATATAAAGAGCTTTGTTAAGATTCCTTTTAAATGAGGCTAATCTACCTTTTACATTTACAGCTGTCGGTAGAAGAGAAGGAATACATGAATCGGTAGCTAAAGATGTGACTGCCATTTTTAAAGGAAAGACAGCAGCACAGTTGGAAGCATTACAGTTACAAATCGAAGCAAAAATCACAGGAAAGCCAGAAGGTGTAGATATTGGATACTGGGAGAGTCTTTTATCTCAGTTGAAAGGTAACTTGTAAATTGATTATTAACATTTAATTTAATGTTACGTATCTAAAGTGCATATCTGTATTAGCCATTTACTCTTCTCAGCGCATATGGCGAGGGCACGGTTGAGAGATCGACATCAAGAAAATCTGCGCAAAAAGTTAGAAGTTTTAATTGCTGAACAGGGTGTTTCGAGAACAGAAAATGAACCCGAAGATTCGCAAGTAGTTAGCGACGCACCCGTTGAACAGACAGAAAAGCAAGATGAGCCATCTACTAATGTAGTCACAGAAAAGAGTGAAGAGAGCCAATCGGAGTGTGTATCTTTTTTGCATACGCCTGTGTTTGCAAATATGAGCTCTTCAACATATGGGTCTGTTTTGTGTGTTTCCAGTGATGAGCAAGAAACAACTAATGCAGCTGATGATTTATTGTCAGAGTCCTTCTGTGAATACGAATCAGGAGGATATTCTCCAAAATATATACCGTATTCGCAGCTCGAACCGGGGACATTAGTTACTTTAGAAGAAGACGATAATCAACGGTTAGAGTATGCGAGAAATCAAGTACTCAGTACTGGGCGAAAGATTCAGAATGTAATGACAGCTGAGGAGCAAGCGATGCATAGAGAAGCACGGAAGAATATGGGTTCCGACGAAGCACAGTTTAGTGTCGAATCGTCTTTAGAAGCACAGATTTACTTATGGTCTGACAAATACAGACCTAGAAAGCCGAGATATTTCAATCGAGTACACACCGGTTTCGAATGGAATAAATACAATCAAACGCATTATGACATGGACAATCCACCTCCGAAAATTGTTCAAGGTTACAAGTTTAACATATTTTATCCTGATCTTATAGACAAGAACACAACGCCCGAGTATTTTTTGGTAAGATGATATTTTTCAGTTAACTGAGTTACAGTTCAAAAATATATCTCGTTAACATAAGATTTTTGCAATTTTCAGACTCCTTGCGCCGACAACAAGGACTTCGCGATTCTAAGGTTCCACGCTGGACCGCCATACGAAGACATAGCGTTCAAAATTGTTAACCGAGAATGGGAGTACTCGTACAAACGTGGATTCAGGTGTCAATTTCATAACAACATCTTTCAACTATGGTTTCACTTCAAACGATACCGATACCGTCGATAATACCTTGGTATTATGTACATTACATATTGTAAATATGTTTCTAGGTGTACAGTAGATTTAATTTTTAATCGTTTCAAGTTAACGATCTTTCCAAGCTGAACATATAAACATATTTTTAAGGAGCTCTTTGAATAAAACTGCCGTAGCGTACGGTGAAAGCACGACAATTTATTTTCCACGAAAAACATACCCACATGTGTGAAAACGATACACCGAGAATATTGTGCAAAGAGGAGCAATCGGCGTTTCACTTTACCGCCTGCATTGTTTAGTAATCAATCCGATAAGTCTGAAATGGAGCGTGCAAAATCTCCGACGTAATGTCCATTTAGTAGTGGAAGAACTAACGGAAATCATAAATAAATCGGTCGCCTGGTTTTTATCACTAGGATATTTTGCAATTGACACCGATCAATCGTACGTTCCTTTCACTTTTCGACAAAATCGACATTTCTCACGAATTGGAATGATCTTTCTAAAATAATTTTATTCGAACAATGGCCAGGTATGCTGCAGTGATTCGTGACACGTCCCCCATTCAAAATATCAAACGTCCCGGCACGAGATCGTACACAATTTCCGCGTGATGACGAAAACATGTGCAAACGTGGCTCAATACAGTTGTTTAATAGTAGTCGTTGGATCGATTTTCGTGGCCACCTGTATTCTTCACACAGTCGACCACAATGAGAAAGGTAAAAGCTATATGTAGCCAATGGCAAGGTAAACTGAAGCTCAGTGCACCGGGTGTTTCGCCGACAAGGGCCGTGCGCGTTTAAAATCGCGTTTCTTCCTCGAACATCGCGCACAATTTAAATTGTCATGGTGATGTACACTAAATTCATGAATAATTCGTGTAAACCGGTCGAAAATGAAGCGTATTCATATTTTCAGCTAACAATGTAGACAACAGTGCATTCGTACGGTGCCCGGTGAACAGAAATATTATCATTTCATTTCGAGGATTCGTCGTTTTACACGTGGATAGTGATTACGTCCGAAATAATTGGCGCACCCGTGTATTCGCGTTGTTAAAAGACCGTATATCAAACGAAACAATTATAAATAATTATGGAATCAATAAGAAATAATTAAACAATCGTTGGAAGATTTTTAATGCAATTTGATACGAGGCAACGATTGGAAGTGAATTATGAAATAGTTTACGAATATCTCGAGGGGAGCTAAATTCAGTGGGTTGTCAATGAGGATGAACGGTTCGAGTGTCAAAGAAAAATCCAGTTGTTATAAAATCCACGATTACTGATTACAGTCGATCGGAAGAACGATGAAATTAAAACGCCTTTAATTGAAATCCGATTCCTAACATTTCGTACCGTTCGATGCACGATAGATCCAACTTCCGCGCGGATCTATTATGAAATCATAAAGTGAACTTTCGTCCGGAACGTGGCAGTTGTCACGAGAGACCCGAATCCGACGTCGGTAATCATTGTTCAAATTCAAAGTGATAGAACGTTTCGATCACGGCTGCAATCATGAAATGGAAGAAGCTTCCGACGGAGTTTCTGCCGGAGAAAACATTCTTGGTGATCAAGGACGATCTCGACGTGTTGGAGAGTAAGTACACGACGGATTATTTATTTAACTAGATGCACCGAGCTTTGAACCAGCACTGATACTGAAGATTCTCTTTTATTTTGAAATATTCTTCAAACATTCAATATTCAAAATAGTATCCGAAATATTGTTTCCTCTAAATTTGATCCAACTCTATTTGAAACCGATTAATGAAGTAATAACGTAAATGAAAGTAATTAAACCTCTGAAACCTACAATTATTTAAAATCTCGTCGTGGCAGTAGTTTACAGACAATGTATACTTTTATATTTTCGAGTACGCTGTTATCCTATTGTTAAAAGAGCTCGATTGGTAAAAAGGAAAAGCAGTTCGCGCGAAGAATAAATCAAAATTGTCGAACGTGATTTAGAGAAAGGGAAACAACGGGGAAAATCGAAAACGCCGGACACCGGCACGTGGCCACCGAAAATTAAACGCGGCGTGTCCCTCTACGAAGACCTGGAACGACCTAAAACCGCGAACCTCGAGAAACCGAGTGTCCTGGACCCGAAACTGGTCGACAAACTCGACATGTCTTTGCTGAGCAAGGAGTTGCTCAGTGACTCAATGACGCGGTTCCGGTACACCAAGACAATTAGTGGGGGAGTGTCGTCGAGGTGTAAAGAAGTTGTGACCACCGGCGAGCAACAACAACAACAGAGACCGATGTCAAACAGTGTAGCGGCAACGTGGAGCAACGGTCTCAGCTCTCAGCGTCAAAAGCGGCGTAGCTTCGAGCAGATTCTCGACTTGAGACTCGGACAGTTGGACGTCACCGCGGAATCACCGAGGATGCAGAAACAGGCGCGTACCACCGGCCAGGACGTTGCTGCGTTGAAGAAGGGCAACGACAACAGAAAATTGGACGACAACAACAACAGGTTCGTGTTAGGTTCCATTTACGAAGAGGGAACGTTAAAAATCGAACTCGCAATAAGTATATTACATATCGATCCGGAAGCTAAGCGTCTACAATAATTATTTGTTATATATCTTCGAAATTATAGAAAGAGCGTTCGAGGGTAGTTTTAACTGGCAATGCTTTCTAAATAGACCACTTAGGAAGACTCACGAGTTTAATTTATCGTTAATTGACCAGAAATGGAACGACCCACAAAGTTTCCTCCCTCTCTACGCTGAAGAAGAAGAGTTCAAGGCCAACGATACAAAACGATCTGGAGGTGTTCACGTCCGCGTCCACGAAAGGCGCACCGGAGCCATGCAAAAGCTGCGGGAAACCGGATCAGCCGGAACGTTTCCACAGTCATCCGAAGGCCACGCAGCAGAAGTTGAAAGAGGGTCCTACGAGCTCAAAGACGAAGGCGTCGCTGCCGAAATCTGTGCAGAAACCTGTCGCCTTGAACTTTCGCAGCGACAAGTGCAAGAATAAAGCCGAGGAAGTGGCTCAGGAGGCGAAGCTCAAATCTGATTGTCCCCAAGGGCACGTTAGCCCACCGAGCAGACCGTCCTCCGCGCCTATCAAGAAAGGACCAAGGACTATCACTTGTTACATTTGTGGACGCGAATTTGGCACGGCCAGTTTCCCTATTCACGAGCCCAGATGCATGCAAGTAAGTTGCGTTAATTGATTCATTCCTTGACATTTGGTCTTCGTTGTATACAACGCGTTACCCTAAGATTGCGAAAACGACGAAATGCAACAGAAGAAAGCTAAATGCTTGGAAGTCTCGTTTATCGCGTTGCTTTATTTAGTGTCACCTTTCGAGATAATAGTTCCGTTGATTTATAATAATCGTGGAAACACTCGTAGCGTGACTTCATTGACAATCGGTCAGCTTCTGGACAGTAGTGTGTCTCAGGTTACTCGACGATAAGCTTCGATTGAATGAATAATAAGACTGGAGAATAATTTATTGGATAACTTTATCTGATTTCCATACATCAAACATGAGGGGGTGCAGGATTAGTGGGACGAAAATAATGGTTCGCGCAGAGCAAGTCTAATTTTACACAGAACTTGAACTGCGATATTCATACGGCTAATAGTATCGGTCACGATGCATGGGTATATATTGAATTCTCTTGTCTGAAAACATGTAATACGTCAAGGTTCTTTGGGTAATCGATACGAATGCATGCGCGGTGTATATACTTCCATATCAGAAACGCTTTTATATGTGCAAACCGACACCCCGCACCAGGTGAACACTACGTTGAATGATCAGTGTCATACAATTCACCGGCGAGGCGCAGTTAGTACGCGCTCGTTTCGATATACGACCTCGACTTTTATGCACATATCCATATACATACATGCATTATCTGCGAAAGATCATTAATTGCTATACGTACTTTTCGATCGCGGTTGTTACATTATTTTATCAAGAATGCATTTCCTGCTTACGCTTACAACACTTGCCGAGCGGGATAAAACGAATTCAATATTCCAGCTAACATTAGGCAAGATATTTGTTATATTTTTCGAGACGAATTTCAATTTCCAGATTAAAGTACATGTAATGCGTTAAGAGTTACTGAATTTTGGTACAATGTTTCACAATTTAATCCTAACGTACGATGGATATAGGCCTCTTTCTGCATCCCTTTGAAATTCGAAATTTAAACACTGTCGGCAGTCGCAAAGGAGATTCACGATTCGGTAATAATTGCCTGTCCAAGCATTGATGTCACCGAGCGAGGTCCTTTTCAATAAGCGACAAGTATCTATTCTTCTCGTTTCCTCTTTATTCCCATTACAGGGAATGTACCCTTAACTGCACGCGTGACTCGTCAGTTGCAGTTTTCTTTATTGCAATTCGAAGATTGATGAATGTTATTTCTACAGAAATGGGAGCGTGAAAATAATTCGTTGCCCGCGAACCAAAGACGCCCGACACCTCAAAGGCCTGATGTCGCGATCGATCACTCAGATTGGAATACAGCGGCATGGGAAAAGAGCCAGGTATTATCGCTTGAATATTACCAGTAACTGGAAATGAATCAAATGTAATTGTCATTATTCCTCTTCATAAACATGTTATTTAAGCGAAGTGAATGGTCGCGAACGTTCGAGCTTGACAACGTTACCGAGCATTTCCGTATTTGTATAGACGAACGTACGTATTTTAACCGTTCTAATGAGTCACCCCGTTGAGTTCATCGGAGGCGACGGGAAATATGATTGGCGATGATGTAACCGAATTACGGGTCGTCATGGGTGAATTCGGTTATGAACAATGCACAATAGACCATGGACTATATGCATATTCATAAGGACTGAAATAAATTGGCTCTCCACGGATCAATTATTTCGGTCAGAATGCACGTTGAAACTGATAAAATATTTTGTTCAAACCAGTCATATTCCATTGTATTTATTGACTTGGATAATGCTTTTTTTATTCTCTTTTTTTAATCGACCGTGAGAATGAAGGATTTACGCGGACGTTTGAAATGTATTCGCTGGGCGGAAGGGGCTAAGCGAAAATAAATCTTGTTTTGATTAGAAAAGAAAGGTGCAGTGAGGTAAGAAAACTCGTTAAAGCTCGCTCTTGCGCGTTTGCATACGTATGAATTACGAATGGGCATAACAAGTAGGAGCTTATGAGGTTTCTAGTTCCACAGAGAGAAAGAGAGCATGTCACGCACTATAATCCTCCAGCCCTATCGTGTTCAAGGTGCTGCCCCACATTTATCGCATACGCTTGCCTTCGTTAGAGTAACGCTATGTTTGATCTAAAAACTGAGAACCGCATTGCGACTCATTAAGTTCGGCTTTAAAGAAGAACTTGCTCGCCGACTTTCAGTTTCCTTCGAACCACGTGTTATTTACATTTTATCGGCAGGCGGTGTCGGTACATAGACATTATTGATTTAACAAAACCACTGGGCAATCGGGATGACTGGCCCCTATATATTTTTATCAAGATTATAACACCACGGTTTTTTCAGACTTGTGACTTACGTCACACTGGAAATGGATAATTTCCATTGATGCCATCGCTAATTGCCATAATTTCAGAGAATAAAATAAGCGAAAAGCTGAAATTATATTAATCATTATATTATCATTTATATTATTAGATTATTGTGTTGCTTTTTAAAAATAATTTAAATAATAATTAATAATGAATTTAATACGTATCATTAAAAATTATTATTTTCAGGAGCAACTGATTCCGTGTCCCAAATGCGCGAGAACGTTCCTCTCGGAACGGCTTCCGGTGCACCAGAGAAGCTGCAAAGGTTCGCTCAAGGTAACTGAAATTTTCGGAAACATTCAATTTATAATCTCACAACGACAATGCTAATTGGCAATAAATCGATAGAACTCCGACACCGAGAAGTCGGAGAACTCGCTACAGGAGAAGTCTGCCGGTTCGTCGCGGTCAAGACCGCCAACGGTCGCTTGCCAAAATTGTGGCCGAAACTTCGGCACAAAGAGCATTAAGATACACGAGCCACAATGCGTCAAACGGTCCCAAGTGGAGAATGTGAAGCAATCGGCCAATCGAAGGGGAGAATCACATGGCCAAACGAAATTAGAAACCGTCAGCATGCAAGAACTTTCGAATAGTCCGACGGGGGTGAGTCACCTTAGAAAGAACGCTTATATCCTCCAGTTCGCCTGAGGAACGTCTCCCTCGATCGAAACTCCTATAAATAAATCCTCCGTGAACCCGACTGTTTGTGCTAGTCGATATGATCACTGGAATTTCTTGTGAACGTTGTGAATAAAAAGTTGCTATTCGTGTCCGAGTGTTGTCAATGGGGGGGATAAACAGCGGGAGACGATTGGTTTTAGGATCAGCAAAAGAGGACGGTCACGTGCTACATATGCGGTAGAGATTTCGGATCGAGCAGTGTGGCCATTCACGAACCGCAATGTCTAAAAAAATGGCACGCGGAGAATGAGAAGCTACCGCCTGGTCAAAGGAGGAAAGAACCACAGAAACCGGAAGTTCTCTATACTCGTAAGTTCGATGACGTTTCTGCAGTCGTAGAGGCTAGAAGATAGATTGTCAGCTAGAGATTTGATTAGATCACTATCTAATCTTCGTCGAAATCATCTGCGAAAACGAATTTTTCGATTCTTAATTTTTACCAATGAATGCAATTATCTATGTTTATTCGAATTCACTTGTAAACAAGGTAAACATTTTATTTCTTTCGATTCGTAGAGTGATTCTAAAAATTTAACCTGGCGGTGCACGCGACGCAAGAATTTTGTCGTATATTCGATGAAAATAATAGATGAAAGAGATACTGTCGTTTGATTACCGGGCTGCCCCGCAAACTTCGAAGGTTCTCTTGTTTGGCGATATAGCTAATTCCTGCGGTGCGCAGCTTAATTGATGTCAGGGGTTGAATAACCTCGATGATCGATTTTCCCCGAATAATTTTCGTTTGGCACAGTTTTGTGCTCGAAACCGCAACGCGATGCTCTGTTTTGCATTTCCGACTTCTCTATTGCTAAGCAGCTGAGAATGAGTGAACCGCGTGGCACCGCGGTCAACCAATGAACTTAAGGTCAGCGTGATTATATCGATCAGAGGGTGGCAATGTTGTAAACCGGAAGCGGCGGAGCCGAGCCTTATCAAATACCTGAAACAATCTTTAATGCACCCTACAATGAACTGTGAGAGCTGAACTTAGAATGAAAATATGAAATTCTGTTTTTATTCAAAATTTAATTTGGATAAAAATACAAGAAAATCTATATGAAGCTACGTGCAAACTATACGGTGTCAAATAATTTAGACGAAAGTAGAAATAAATATTCATATTAAAAATATTATGCTCATGTTTTATGTACAGGTGATCCAGAATCAGGGAACATGGTAGTGGATGTGATGGCAATGGCAGAGGCCAACTGGAAATCGCACTTGAATCAATTGGTTCCGTGTAAGCATTGCGGAAGGACATTTAATCCTGATCGTGTAACCGTTCACGAACGCAGCTGCAAGGGAAATCGCTAAAATTACACTGCTTAAAATAGTTGTAATCGATTTAAAGAAAAAATTGATTCAAGAACTCTCGTTAGTTTCTCTGATAACTGTAAGAGTGGCGATCCTTAAATTTTTTTCTTTACAAATTAAATCAATTCTTTCTTTAAGCCAATGGTAGAAGAATCACGTTTTGAGTTTTTAATATACCTACCAGGAAAGAAAATACTGTACACTTAACGTATCTTGATTCTCTATTGAATATTTTATCGATAGGTGATCCTTTATATTTTTTATGCAATGTAAATAACTCGTATAATTTTTATATCTTTCTATCTTAAAAGTGCAATGCACATGTGCACACACTACATTGAAAAGAAGTTACAGTTGTAATTGGTAAATAATGTGCTTTCAAGAAAATGAATCATTTTTCTTTTTATTAGTTTTTTATAACGTTCATATATATTAGAAGTATAATAATTTCATAGTCTAGTCTATGTGTAAATAATAGACGGACGTAATGTTCATTGCACCGTCTTAAACATCCTTAATATTGGATATTTTATAGGAGAACGCACAACCATCACTATTTTCGTAGTATATGTGTAATTACTGAATTGAGTCATAAATAATTTCCAGTAGAAGTTAATTTAATATTATTATGTATTAATGTAATATTAAAATAAATTTGCGAAAAATAAAACGGAAGTTGTTTATGACTTAACGCAATCTAATATATCTTTTGTACACATGTCTTCGTAGAATAGATATAGAATTGTTATTATCAAATAAGCTATAATATTTTGTATGAGTTCCTTGTCGACTATCAAAAAATAAGACACTAACGTGTAGCGATAAATGTATCAGTGTCTGACCATCGATTTTTTCGTAATCTTTTTATTTTATCTTTTCTTCCATCTCCCACCCCTTTTCCTCCTTTCAAGTACTCCGTAATCGTCATATTTATATAATTGCTTTCATTATAGTAACATCTATATGTCCAGCAGTAACAATTAACGGAAAAAAGAAATACTGAAAAGGAAGTACATAATTCTTAGATCTGCATATTTCATTCAAATCGTTCAGGTTACAGAACCAAATGCAACAGTTACTGTAATCTACATCCCCACGCAGGGATTAACGGACTACGTTTAAAATCGTAAAGTCGCGTGCAAACTGCGCACGCATATTTGGCCACGTGGTAGGGATCATGAAATTCCAATTGGTCCTGTGCACATCACGATATACGCGTGACGAGAGGTGCCCTCTATCGTGCACGAAACGTTCGTTCCTTTCACGGAACTCGTGTTCTTTCCAAGGGAGTCCGCCATTGTTGGTGCACGTATATTTCTGACCAGGCCAACGGAAATCGGACAACATCCAAAATGGTACGTATAATCATCGCAAAGTATTATGAACGCGTTGATCTATACCGTGTGTGGAGTGCAGAGGTGCGAATATTTTTGAAGCACGAGTGTCACCTGAGTTCGGGAAAATTGAAAACTGGCGGATTACTTGGGATTGCGCAACTCTTTTCGAGGACGAATTTTGAGGTTCGCGATGGATATGCCGGAGCAAATGATCTTTGATGGTCCTGTAGATATTCCACCGGGACAATCCTGAGAATTTTCCGTTGGAATGGCTCAGAGTTGTCGGTGTTCGAAGTACAAATATGTTTCGTCTCTCGTTCGGGAGGCAACGTGTCATGGAGCTTCGTCGGGCTCTTAATACGAGTCAGCATGCTCTTGGCGTATAGTGAATCTCTGTGAAAAATCATTCTTGGCGATTGTTCGTGCATTGGAAACGTTATGGAGATTATCCAACGGTTCGGTATTATACGGAAAAGTACGTCGAAATTGTTCGCATGATGTATATAGAGAATGAGGAAGTCATACAGTTCTCTAGGCTTTAAGGAATTGCTCAAAGACGGACGCTGTGCAGAGAAAAATGTCCACATGGGAAGCTGCGATTTCTTTTTGTTCTAAATTCTAATGTATACGTGTCCATAATATATATCAAGATTTACGAAGTTTTTATTTCAATATGGTCAGTATTAAAATTATGAAATTTTTTTTTTACACAAATGATATTTTGATTTTGGAATTTTAAGCTTAGGAGCAACTTCAAATGTTTGTACACTTAATTTAAGAGTGAAAAAACTGTTTTGTAGAATGATCACAATATCAAATATTTGACTATGTGTATATGGTGATAGTATTATGTGTAATATAAATTGTATAATTTTAAGAATATGAGAAATCTGTATTATTGTGTCTTTTATGATGTTCATTGTATAATCATATATGTGTATATTGTATGTTAACATAAAGCTTTTTACTTCAGGTGAATTTCACGGTGGACGAGATACGTGCCATGATGGACAAAAAGAAAAACATCAGAAACATGTCCGTCATTGCACACGTCGATCATGGAAAGTCAACTTTGACTGACTCCCTTGTGTCCAAGGCTGGTATTATTGCCGGTGCTAAAGCTGGAGAGACCCGATTTACCGATACCCGGAAGGATGAGCAAGAACGCTGTATTACTATTAAATCTACGTAAGTTCTACTCAAACATTTCTTGTAAGTGAAAATTCTTCGGTAATTAATGATTAACATATTTTTACAGAGCTATTTCTATGTATTTTGCCCTTGAGGAGAAAGATTTAGTTTTTATTACAAATCCTGACCAACGTGACAAAGAAGAAAAGGGCTTCTTGATTAACTTGATTGATTCACCTGGACACGTAGACTTCTCTAGTGAAGTAACAGCTGCTCTTCGTGTAACTGATGGAGCTCTAGTGGTTGTTGATTGTGTATCTGGTAAGAATCTCACAGTTGACTTTGTGAATTCCATGGAATCCCTTCCAGCACAAAAAGTGTTACTCTGTAGTGCATTAGCTGGTTTATCTGGCTAATACACATGGACAGTGCTGATGGTGTATGAATGGAAGGAGATTAAAAGCAGCTGTGTTTAAACGCTGTTAGTGGACCTCTATCCTTATGTCCTTTACTAACATGCTACGACACAATTGCTACAATAACATATTTTTGTTTTATGTTACTCTAAATGGTTAATCCTTCCCGTTTTTAAGGTGTTTGTGTACAAACGGAAACTGTACTTCGTCAAGCTATTGCTGAGCGTATCAAGCCAGTATTGTTCATGAACAAGATGGACAGAGCTTTGTTAGAACTTCAGCTTGACAGTGAAGATCTGTATCAGACTTTCCAACGTATTGTTGAAAACGTTAACGTTATTATTGCTACATATTCTGATGATGATGGCCCCATGGGTGAAGTTAGAGTAAGTGAAATGAGTTTTTCTTGTATTATATTGTTACTGAAATATTAATTTCTATTCATTAAAAATAGGTAGATCCTAGCAAAGGATCCGTCGGTTTTGGTTCGGGTCTTCATGGTTGGGCTTTCACATTGAAACAATTCTCCGAAATGTATGCTGAAAAATTCAAAATTGATGTTGTAAAACTTATGAACAGATTATGGGGAGAATCGTTCTTCAATCCTAAAACTAAGAAGTGGAGTAAACAAAAGGAAGCAGACAACAAAAGATCTTTCTGCATGTATGTTTTAGATCCAATTTATAAGGTACGTACTTAATGAACAGTCATTCTTATGTTTACTAAACACGGTATTTAAATCTGTACTAATATAATGTTAATTAACAGGTATTTGATAGCATTATGAATTACAAAAAAGAAGAAGCAGACACTCTCCTGCAAAAATTGGGAATTGTTTTGAAAGCTGAAGATAAAGACAAGGACGGCAAAGCTCTTCTTAAGGTAAAAAAGTTTTGACAAGTATGAATATACAAATACTTAAATAGGGAAATATATTATGATGATTTGTTCTAAAATTCTGACACCTCTTCTGAATCTTATTGATTGATATGCGAACCCAGGTCCTGATAACACATGAAATTAGAATATATATTTGACAAGTAGTACATTGCATACACATTAATGTTTATTTAAATTTTAGGTTGTTATGAGAACGTGGCTACCAGCTGGGGAAGCTTTACTTCAGATGATTGCTATCCACTTGCCATCTCCTGTCACCGCTCAAAAATACCGTATGGAAATGTTATACGAAGGTCCTCTAGATGACGAAGCTGCTATCGGTATTAAGGTAATTTTTTTAACGCTTTTTAATTTCATCCTTCTGTGGTTCTTATGTTATATGATGATCTTATCCACAGACCTGTACTGATATAAATGATAGATGTTAAATTTATTTATCTGATAAAGACACTTCAACTTAATTAAGTTTAATCAGCAGCCCAAGAAATTTGTAATTATTATATAATTAATTTTACAGAATTGCGATCCAAATGGCCCACTTATGATGTATGTCTCAAAAATGGTACCGACTTCTGATAAAGGTCGTTTCTACGCTTTCGGTCGTGTGTTCTCTGGAAAAGTTAGCACCGGTATGAAAGCACGTATCATGGGTCCCAACTTCCAACCGGGCAAGAAAGAAGATTTGTACGAAAAAGCTATTCAGCGTACAATTTTGATGATGGGTCGTTACGTCGAGGCGATTGAAGATGTGCCTTCCGGTAAGTTTTATAAAAAAATCTTGTGTTGAAATCTGACATTTTTTTTTGTAGCTTCAATGATGATTGTTCTCACAGACCTGTACTGATACCTTTTGAAAGACAGTAGAACGGCCAACTGACTTTTGATGTTGATAATATAAAAATGTTCAAAGATTGTACCCATTATGCTAATAATTTATTATTTTTTTTATAGGTAATATTTGTGGTCTTGTTGGTGTTGATCAGTTCCTGGTCAAAACTGGTACTATTACCACATTCAAAGATGCGCATAATATGAAAGTTATGAAGTTCTCAGTCTCGCCTGTCGTACGTGTTGCTGTTGAACCTAAGAATCCCGCCGATTTGCCTAAGTTGGCTGAAGGTACGTTTACAGATCTTTTCATGAAAATATGAATAATGGAATTTTTTAAGGATGAAACTACTTATATAGAGCATTGGGTTATGACAATCCGTGATTTCGTGTAGAATCTGAAAATAATGATTAAAGTCATACACTTACTATTGTTATCTGAACATCATTGAATAACAAATCATTCGTTTATTTAGGTCTTAAACGTTTATCAAAATCTGACCCTATGGTGCAATGTATCATCGAAGAATCTGGAGAATACATCATTGCTGGTGCTGGTGAACTTCACCTTGAAATCTGTTTGAAAGATTTGGAGGAGGATCACGCTTGCATACCCATTAAGAAATCAGACCCCGTTGTCTCGTACAGAGAAACAATTTCGGAACAATCGAATCAAATGTGTCTTTCAAAATCACCCAACAAACACAATCGTTTGTTCATGATGGCATGTCCCATGCCTGATGGACTTGCTGAGGACATCGACAGTGTAAGTTTTATTTTTGCTGAGAAATATGCAGAGTACATGTTTTTTTTGTGCTTACGTGTTTGTAATTATTACAGGGCGAAGTTAACCCAAGAGACGACTTCAAAGTACGTGCTCGTTATTTGAGTGAGAAGTACGATTATGATGTAACCGAAGCTAGAAAGATCTGGTGCTTCGGACCTGATGGAACTGGACCTAACATCATAATTGATTGCTCGAAGGGAGTACAGTATCTTAACGAAATTAAGGATTCTGTTGTAGCTGGATTCCAGTGGGCCACGAAAGAGGTATGTATCAGTATTTTGAAAAGATTTGCTTCTATTTTGTTTTAATTTATCGTAATTAATTGAGATTCGTAACGTTACAGGGTGTTCTTTCGGAAGAAAACTTGAGAGGTGTTCGTTTCAACATTCACGATGTAACATTACACGCTGACGCTATTCACAGAGGTGGTGGTCAAATTATCCCTACCACAAGACGTTGCCTTTACGCTTGTCTTCTCACTGCCTCTCCTCGTCTTATGGAGCCAGTTTATTTGTGTGAGATTCAGGTAAATTTTTACTTTTTTATTTGAACAATCGTATAAAACAATTCAATTGTTCTCATATATTAATTAATTTAAATGATCTTTTCAGTGTCCAGAAGTAGCTGTCGGTGGTATATACGGTGTACTCAATCGCAGAAGAGGTCACGTATTTGAAGAACAGCAAATTGCTGGTACACCCATGTTCGTAGTTAAAGCATATCTTCCAGTAAACGAGTCCTTTGGCTTTACTGCCGACTTACGTTCCAATACCGGAGGACAAGCTTTCCCGCAGTGCGTATTCGACCACTGGCAGATCTTACCCGGTGACCCAATGGAACCTAGCTCCAGACCGTACCAAGTTGTGCAGGTAAATATTAATCTGAAGAAATTTCACACGCAGCAATATAAACATACCCACGATCATAACTGATGGTAATGAGTATATATAAATATATTACCATTTTTAATCTCGTGGAAGAGAAACTGTTTTTTGTTTTGGTGTTCCAGTAGTGTATTCTGGTTTGCCTGAATAGGGAAACATACAGATACTTCACTTTTTGAACCTATACATATGTAAGCATACGTTGTTATGTATGATAACTAATTCATAATTACTTTTTTCTTTACAGGAAACACGTAAGCGAAAGGGATTGAAAGAAGGTCTCCCAGACTTGAACGCATACCTTGACAAATTGTAACCATAGATTCGCGCACCATATTTAAATATCTATTTAAATATTGTAATTCAATTAATATCGCTGGAACCGTATACAACTGCATCGGTTTATTATGAACTTTGTTTTGCGCAAAGAACCGTGAAGAAACACACGATTATAAATATGAAAAAAGGAAGATAATAAATTGTAATTATAATGAAAACTATGTATGCTAGCGCAGGGAGGAATATTTTGTACATTTATTTAACTAAGCATCGCCACGTTATTGACATCCAGTGGCTTTACGTTTTTAGCATATCATCATCAGATAAAGACTTGATTGTTATTTTTATTGTGGCAACATTTTGCCAATTTCTTATGTAAATGCGAAAAAATTAAAAATTGTGATTTTTTACATTGCTTTTTTATTAAAATTAGTCTGTTATTTTTTGTTGATGTTCTCACAAAATCGACAAATTCAAAGTTACTGATAATAAAAAAGATCACAGCAATGTACTCATACTGGAAAAATACATCAAGAAATTAAAGATAAATTTGAGAA